TCTACTAGCATTTCTCAAATGCGGCCACCTGGGGCTTTTCTTGTGGCCACAGCATGCTGGGCTGTGATCAGGTGAGGGAAGGAAGCAGCAGCCTCTCACCCAGGACCGCTATCAGAGGTTCGGGTCCCTCCCTCCCCCCCCCCCCCCCCCCCCCCCGCCCTCGGAGCCCCACATGCTGGGGGAAAAGGCAGCCAGCAAGTTCCCCACCTTCCCAGGGGCAGTGGGGTTGAGTTTTTCAGCTCTGGGGTGGCAGGCAGCGAGCTCCAGCCATGGGGCTTTAGGCTCCAGCTACGGGCCCTAGCAGCACGGCAGCAGACAGGCTCCGGCCCCAGGCTCATGCCTTCCCCTCCCCCTCCCTCCTGCAGCCCCAGGGTTTGGCTGCACGAGCCAGGCTTCGGTCATGTGGCAGCAGGCTCCAGCCTGTGGCTCGCCACCCCTTCCCCATTGCCTCTGGCCCCTGCTGCCTTCTCCGGCCCTGGGCTTCCACCATGCAGCAGGGGGCTCCATCCCCCAGCCACAGGGTTTCAGGCTCAGGCTCAAGCTATGGAGTTCTGGCCCTGGGCCCCAGCTGTGTGGCACCAGTGGGTGCTGACCCCAGACTCACCCACCTGCCCCAATTGCCCCTGCTGCCTCCCATAAACCCCCCATCGACTCCCCCCCTCGCACCCTGCTGCCTTCCTCTCCACTACCCCATCCAGGGCTTAATTTATCCCAGAGCTAAGTAAGGCTACTGTGAAAAGTGATATTTGTTAATATCACTTTTCACAGCAGACTTAGGAGACTATGAAAAATGATATTAACATACAAGTATTTCCATTTACAGCAGCAGTTGTAGGAGCTAGCAGTCTTTTAAAACCAAAAAACCAAAGAAATAACAAAAAAGACAAGAATGTCCAAAGCACTTTGTGTTTCTATGTTGTTTAGGCCTAGTAAAGAACGGAGACAACAGTACATTTTTATTATTGAGTGTGCAAAAAAACCCTACATGAATAAATTACAATGATTTGGACATGTATATGTGCATATTTGTTTTTCCTAAAGTTAATTAGTACTTTAAGAAAAATTGTCAGAGCAGCCACCAGCACGAGTGCATGGCCATACTCTTAGGCCACCAAAAATTTTGTTAGTGAGAACCCCTAGTTTAAACCATCTAGCGGTACTGCTGACATGAACTTTACTGCTTGCCAGCTGCAGGAAAAATGTAGAGAACACCACAGGCCATTATATCTGGTGTTCATGGACCTGACAGAAGCCTTTGACTCCATCAAGAGAGAAGCACTGTAGAAAATCCTTCTGAAGTATGGATGCCCACCGATATTTGTCACCATTCCTTGTCTCTTTCCCAATGACTTGCAAGCAGTGATCCTTTGTATTGGATCTACTATGGTGCCTTTTAAGGTTAAGACATGCATTAAGCAGGGCTGTGTTATTGCCCCAGTGCTCTTCTCCATCTTCCTCGCTGCAATGCTCTATTTGATCATTGACAAAATTCCGGCAGCAGTGCAGCTAATCTATCAAATGGATGCTAAGCTGTTCAACCTCGGCCACTTCTGATCCAAAACCAAAACATCACTGACCTTCATCATTGAGCTTCAGTAGGGTGATGATGCTGTAGGGGCAATACCTTTGAGATTCCTTGTGTAAAATATTTTTCCCCCACCCAGGTTCCAGGCTCCTTTCCAGTACTGTTCTTTCCAAACTCAGGACTTGGGATGGAAGAGGGAGAAGAGGTAGGCTACAATATCTGGGTAACTCCCACTTGGGGCCTCTTCTCCTTGTGCTGGAGTAGCCAGCTCAAGGTGGTAGTAGGGGGATTACTTTGTGTATTTCTCGAGCTCCTAGTGGTGGGGGAATCTATGAGAGGTATTCCACCTATAGCAACTGCAGTGTCCACAGAAATAGCGGGTGTAACTAGTTGCTCAGTAGCTGAGAGCCACAACTGTCTTAGTCCAAGTTTCAGAGATTTCTATCTACCTCAGTCTACAAGTCCCAAAATAGTGGAGTCCACAAATCTCCCAAACTCCTCAGACATCTGGCCTCAGCAACCTACTGGCCCAATCTAATCACTTTTTGTGCAACGGCCCTAACTCTTGTCCCCTCCAACCACTTTGCTGTTCAAAACTTCTGCCTGTATCATTCTGCCAACAGACCCACCCAATCTAAAATGGCTGCATTCACGGTATCATAATCCGCTGCTTGTTCATCACTGAGTGACATTGACTTTTTTACAAGAGAGAGAAAGCCACATGTAGACTCATACCCTCTTTTCCCAGGCTGCTCCTGAAGCCATTCTCTCAAGTATTAACAAAAAAGCCTCAGGGTCATCCACTAGGCCCATTTTGCACAGCATCATGCCAATTGCCTGGTTATCACTCCCTATTGAGGGACTCACCAACATCTCAAAGAACTGTTGCTGCACATGCAGTTGGCCTGCAATAAATTACTGTAGGCTTTGTTGTTGTTCAGCTTGCTAAGATAACAAGAACCACCTCTCTGTGTGCTGGATTTGTTGAAACTCCTGTAGGGGTTGCTGGAACTCGGGGCTCGGCAACCTTTGGCACGCGGCCTGCCAGGGTAGCTGCAGGAAGCGGCGGCCAGCACAGTCCTCGGCCCGCGCCGCTTCCCGAAGCCCCATTAGCCTGGAGCGGCGAACCGCGGCCAGTGGGAGCCGCGATCGGCCGAACCTGCGGACGTGGCAGGTAAACAAACCGGCCCGGGCCACCAGGGTGCCAAAGATTGCCAATCCCTGCTGTAACTCCTACCACTCACCTACCCACCACAGGAGTTCTTTCAGATTTCCCAGTCTGCCCACTTCAGCTTCCCTTTCCAGTCCTTCACATACAGTGGAGTAGGAAATCCCAGGACAAGCCTCCAAATTCCATGAGGTTCCCTCACACTGGCTTTCTCTTTGCAAGCAGTGCTCACACACCCTTGGGGAGTTCACTAGCAGTGCACTTTATTTACAGTGTCTTACGCAGACTTCATGTCTCATTACCATAAGGTTTTTCCCAAGCTTCAACACCCCTCCTGTCACAGAGTGAGAGAGGTCTTACCTCTCCGAGATCTTGGGCTGTTTTACCTTTCTTTCTGTTGCCTGTCTCCCATGTAATAGTCCTTAGCTGATGAGCTGAACCACCCAGTTCTAATCAACTCTCAATCTGGCCCATGTAGGGGTGCTTACAAAGTGCAGAGTGGCGAGTCAGCCCTAGGCTACTTCCACTCTGTCACAGGTTGTTTTTGTGTGTGTGTGTGTTTGCAGAGGACATCAAAGATGTATCTACATCTTATTGAACAATGTTGAGTTACTTAGTATGAGCAGAGGATAGTAACAAAAGCTTGGATACAATACAGTGGTTGTACTGGATTAAGAATTTAAAAATTTTGTTTCCAGGCTGTTGCAGGCAAAGGGAAACACTGAAAATGTGGGTAAGCTCATCAATGGATCTGATGCTAATTGAAAACATTAAACTAACACAGTGTTGAGAAATCAAAATGATGACAGAAAACAAGTAGCAATTAAGACATGTCAACTTGGAAGCAGTAATTAGAATGCTTGAATCAAGTGGTGGTTTGTTTTTTAGTGGATTATAATATGCTAAAATAGACAAACAGGTCTTAGTGTGCTGCATTACTAGGAGGAAACCTAATCAGGCAATTTCTATTTTTGGAATATGGAATTATTGAAATAAGGAACAAGGGCCCAGATCTACAAAGGTACTTAGGAGCCTAAACCACAGACTTAGGACTTAGTGCCTCAGGCACTTACATTTCAGTTTTGGTTCCCCTATGATCCACAAAACTTCTGCTGAACCTGGTAGGTGCCTAAACTACTTGGAAGCCTAAGTTTTCAGGGTCAGAGTTTTCTAGCACTTATGTTTTTGCATCTGGGCATGCACATTGCTGTCTCCATCTAGGCATCTGCACACCTAACTCCTGCGTAGGTCCCAGAGCAATTCACCACCCCAGAGGAAGACAGGCAGCTGAATGCCTAAATCACATTCAGGGCCCAATCCAGTAGGTGTGCTCACAGACTGGATTAGGTCCCATTCAAAATTTGGCCACCTAAGATGTTGCCCACCTTATTACATTTAGCCCAGGGGTTACAGCATTCACATGGGATGTGGGAGAAACAGAGGGGGGAAAGGATGTGAATAAGGGTTTCCTGCTTCTCGGGTGAGTGCTCCAACCACTGAGCTATGTAATATTCTGATTTTAGAGGGTTTCCCCAATCTCTCCTATTGAAACTGTGCCACTGTTGCTAATGAAAAAGTGTGGGGGGGGGAGGGGGGACTGGAGCCTGGGCCTCCTACTCCCCAGAGGGCCGCCCTAAGCACTGGACTAGTCATTCTCATGGGCGCACACACAGAATTTGCCATATCTCAGTGGTTAAAGTACCCTCCAGAGAAGTGTGCAAATCATTTCCCCTCCTGTCCCCCATCAGAGAGAGGGGAATTGAACCTGGGTCTCCACATCCCATGTGAGTGCATTAGCCACTGGGCTAGAAGTAATAAGCTGGGCACCTCCTCTCACCATTTTGTGTGGAGCATGTGTCTAACTACTAAGAGATACCTTAGGCCCCTAATCCACCTAACTCCATGTGGCTGGCTCCCTGTTTGGGGATCACTAAGCAGATGTGTCACCTTGCAGCCCAGACTTAAGTCCTTCCCCTCTCAAAGATAGGTGCCTAGGACACATTGCTCGTTACCTTCTCCCACTGGCTAGCTTAGGGGTCTCCCCGCCTACCATGCTGACTTTTGTGGATCACATTCTAAGGCACCTATCTTTCCTCATTCATTGTACAGGGAACCTAGGTGCCCAAATCAGCTTTAAGGATCACAATGATTTTCCAGGAGCTGGTGTAATGCCTCCATCCATCATGGCTTCCACCCAAAATTGGTTTATCAGTCTGAGTTTAGAATTTTATTTAATCAAAATGAAAGTAAAAATCAGGATTATTTTAAACAATATTTCCCACAAGTAACTGAAGTTACAAACTTGAAACAAACTTCTGGGGACAGAGACTTTCTAGCAATTCTGTGTTTTCTAAATCTAGTGAGTATAAAATTAAGACCCTCAATGCTACTTGTAAGTGCAAAGGAACGTGTAAGAGGTACAGTAGCCACAGTTTAGGACCTCACTGAGGTCTCACACAGCATTATATTTTACCTCTTGGAGAAGCAAACACAAAATTGTTACCAGTTTTCTAGCAAACTAAGAGATGCATTTCTTAACTTTTACATCCAACACTGTTTCTGCACTAAGATGATGTAGGCTACCTAAATTAATAGATGGACCACTAAAAGCTATCTTATGTTATGTTAAAATTGTGACTAAGGCAATTTCATTTGACAATGTGCATCAGGAATATGCTATGGGTTCTAACAAAGGGTTTGGGACTAATGCATAAAAATTAAGTGCTTCCTTACTACATTTTTGGAGATAAAAGGGACACACCACTAGCCACAGTGAATTCTATCTACACAAAGAGGACAGAGACAGGACAAAAAGAGAGACAGTAGCTGCAGTCCTTAAGAGTGCTCCATCTGAGACAATGTCTTTGTACAGTAAAAAGAGGAAAAAAATAAAATAAGGAAAAGAGGGCAGTAGAACCAACCCTTTCATAAAACCAAAAAAGCCTTCATTTGAGAGAAGCCTTACAGTGCTTAAACATGGAGGACTGAAACAGGCCTCTCTATGATACTCTTGTACCACTTTCTATTCATTTTGCTGATGAAATTTAAAAAAAAAGTCATGTAATGTTCAAGTGCATTTCCTTGTAACAATGCAAATGCTAGAGAGCCAGAAAACCATGCAGCAGGCTCATCCAACATAAATCTAGATGGTAAGTACTAGTCCACTACCAGTAGCAAGGCTTGAAAATATTTGTTGACATTCACCTGTTTCTATTAGTTCAAACGAAAAGTCCTCTGGTGCTAGGTTTACATTTGTATTGCTGCATGTTCACTGCCTCACTAATAAATCAGCTTCCACGCCCTAAATAAATCAGTATTGACACTTCCTCCCGTAACATATTTTGGGTTCACTCAAATTAATTCTGGACTTTTCCTTCCTCTTCTTCATATGGGTAAACATGCTGCTTGCTAATCCTTGCTGGAAAAGCACCAGCAGTTTTGGCTACTTTACTCCTCCACACCCCTGAATTTAAAAGAGAATGCTGCTCTGTCCCCGTAGTAGGAATGTGTTATGGCTTGTATTTCAGTAATTGGCTGGAGGTGAGATGGATGCAGGGGTCAGACATCTGCTGGCTCTATGCCTTAACTGAAACTCTTGAAGCAGGTGCAGAAATTAAGGGTTTAGCCACAGAATCATTCAAGGACAAGGTTGGTTGTAGGCCTCCTCAGATAGTCGTGCCCATGGATTCTTCATTCTCAGATTATCTGTATACCTTAATGGTCTCTGTAGCTGCAATCACTAATATTTAGGAGCTTCCTTCAGCAATCTAAATATGCATGGAGAGGTGCATGGTAATCCTCCTGGAGTCTTCTGCTCTCTTTTCTGGGTAGAAGAAACTCTGGTAATTTAATTTGTAAGTAATTTATTTCCTCCCTCATCATCATGATGCCAATTATAATAGAAATGATTTGTGAGAGAGGAGAGTTGTATAGTCAGAGTCTCAATACGTTGGCTCTCTGGAAGCTAGTTTTAGTTTCAAAAGACAAGCTGGACGAGGACAACTGCTAAGAGGCCCCTGGTCTCACAGAAGTTTGTCTCAGTGATGAGGACATATAAGAGGCCTTTTCACTTTGGAGTGTTTTCAGGCCTTCTGTACCATTCCCCCCCCCAGGTACGTTCATAATGCTCAACAGGGCCAATAAGATAGTAATCTGTAAGAGTAAAGTGGTAAAACCTCTTTGAGGAGTCCGTGTACCTGAAGGATTCCACGGCAGAGCTGTCAAAGAATCCTGGCTCAAAGATAGAAAGGAGGCCCTTTATGCTCACATGCAGGAAGGTTTCTCAGGACTCAAAACTGAATCTCATGCTTGAAGAGAATTAAAATTTTGTGTTTCAGACTTCAGCAATTAGTTTGCATAAGATGAGGAAGAACAATGCAGATGGGAGATTTGGAAGAAGAGCTAGCCCTCCATTTTCACGACCACTTGTTTAGGATGTATAGTCTAGAACTACACCAGAAAACCAATTACTGGTACCTCCTTTATGGCGTAAGGACTAGTGCTTATGTTGTCATTCTTTTTTTTTATATTTATTTACTGCATTAAAATATTTATTTACAAAAAGTACAATGGTCAAAATTTTCACTTAAGCTGAGTAAGATATATATGGATGGTCTATTCAGTCTTTCTACTTCTATATGCTATAATTTTAAATAAGACACAGCTAGTAAGTGGCAGCCTTGAAAAGGTCCCTCAGAGCCAGAGAAGGTTATAATGTACACCTCTACCCCGATAGAACACGACCCGATATAACATGAATTCGGATATAATGCGGTAAAGCAGTGCTCTGGGGGGGCAGGGCTGCACACTCCGGTGGATCAAAGCAAGTTCGATATAACGCGGTTTCACTTATAACACTGTAAGATTTTTTGCCTCCCAAGGACAGCGTTGTATCAGGGTAGAGGTGTAGTATAATCTCCCAGAACAGGAAGTTACTAAACCATATACCAGAAAATTTGCAAAACCTCAGTACATAAAAATCTGTAACATTAGTAATGTCCTTTGTTTGACTACATCTGACTGATTCATCCATCTGCATCCAGTTTGAGTTTTCAGACAACAGTTCAAGTCCCCAACTGTCTCCCACCCTTCAGAAGTTTACCAACTGTGCTATTTCACTTATCTTCACATATACACAGCCTGAGAGTGTTAGTGATGCTAACATAGCATTCAGGCCTGTATATTTGCCTGAGATAGAATTTTGGGTTTTCTTTGCCTGTTTGACTTATAATATTCTTACTAACCTGTGAACAAAGAACAAAGACACTCTGTGTTGCATCTGCCCACAACCAGAAGGGGTTTATAGCACGAAATAAAAAGATAAGGAAGAGAGTTAAAGTGTTGCTGGTTTTAGTGGGAGTTTAATATATGACCGTTTTGACTTCTACCTCAAAGCAAGGTCAAGCAACCAGTTGGGAGGGACAAGGGAAGGTTGGGGGGGAGAGAAAGGAGGCGTAAGAAACACTAAAAAGCCAAAGAAATGGTGACCCTGGCCAAAACACAACCTCACTCCCTACCCATCCCATGGGATACAAAAGAGGTGGTACCAAAGCCCCAGACTCTTGACCCTCCAAAAACGGAAAATTACCATAAATTGTAAGACGTGGTGCTGGGGCATGCACTACAGGTATAATCGAGCCTGCTAAGAAAGAGCGTGGGGGGGGGGGGGGGGAAAGGGAGAGGAAAAATATCTACTGGTGTACAAAGCTATGGATATGCTTGCTTGATTAACCCCAATAAACACTGCATTGCCTGCACTTCAGACTCTGGTCTTCTTTTTGTCTGCGTGACAATAACCAAGGGACGATGAGGGGAAGCCCTAACAGGGAGGATACTATTTTCATTCCACCCCAGCCTTCATTTGTGAACTTGGGTTTTAAAGAAACCCCATAACACTTACGCCATACACTTAAAAATGGTGTTTCCTTTTCCCTACCGCACAAATCTTTTAAAATTATTTTAATCTGTGTCTGTTTAGAACAGGCAGAAGCCTGCACACATCTAAATTAATAGAGCATCCAAATTTAGAGTTCTCTTTATTTATACAACCCCCCCATTATATACTTACCCACAGAATTGTTTAAGATCATGTCTCCTCCATCTATGAAATTATACTTGACATTCTTATTTACCCTTCCCAAACATGCTCATAAGAGAACTCTCTTATAAAACACGATGAAGTTTAATATACATGAATGTCAACAATGTAACAAAATTAATGCCAATGTACTGCTAGTAATAGATGTTCTGTATATGCTATTTAGCTACATCTATGGAATTTTTAAATACAGCAGTACTGTAGTATGCTCTCTTTATTGGCAAGTCACTACCAATATCAGTGCAGTTGTGTCAAATAATGTAATTTCCATAAGTACAGGATGTGACAAAATTCCAATTATGGTAGAGTATACAGGTCTGTCTCATGTTACGCTGGGGTTACGTTCCGCAGTCAGCGCGTAAAGTGAAAACCCTTGACCCTTGAAAATCCCTTAAATCACCCATAAAGTACATTTTTGTGTATACAACCCTGTATTGTATACAGCAATGTATAGTACAGTATATAATAAAGACTACATATGCAAAATATAATTTTAAAGTATTTTTAATAACAGAAGAATGAAAGAATAAAAATGAAAACAGTACAGTACAATATGGTAAACCTGAACAGTCACCAGTCATCCTGGATATTCTTGCTAGACTTGTACTGTACACACTCCAATGATTAGTCTTCCTCTTCCCCTGACAACACTATCATTGAGTCGTGAGGGCTTGATGTCGATCCAGGCGACGATGGGCCAGGCTTGGGTGACGGAGAGCGAGTCGTAGACAAAGTGGTTGGCTCTGGTTCAGCTCGAGAAGTTGATTGTATAGGCTCTGCTGCTGCTAGTTGTTTTTTCTTTAAAAACATGGCGATTGGCAACTGTCGCTGTTGTCTCTTGAGCTCCTCAAATATTTCTTGGTACGGTCTCAAATCATCCGTAATACTACGTGTGATTTTGAGGCTTCATTCCATAGAAGGATCATATTCAGAAATTAAATCATTCAAGTTTTTCGCTGCTTGGAACACTTCAGAAAATTTATGAAGATTCCAAGTTGCTGGCTCTTCCTGTTCGTCATCATCTTCGTCTTCTGTAGACGATTTTATCAGTTCCTCTAACTCTTCGTTAGTCAATGTTTCTCTATGGCCCTCAATTAATTCCTCGAGGATGTCAACGAAGCCATCACTACCCACTTGCCTGGCCACCTGAACAATGAGTTGCACTTCTTTGTCAATGGTCGGGAAACCCTTAAAATCATTCAGTGTCTTCCCACAGGTTTTGCCAACATGCATTGACTGTTTCAGGCTTGATAGCATCCATTGCCTGTTCAATATAAGTGATGCAGTCAGCAATGTTGAAGGCCTTCCAACACTCCATCACATTAACATTGGGATCAGCATCCATAGCGGTAAGGATCCGTGAGAATGTAAGCCTCGTCTACATGGCCTTGAAACAGCTAATGATGCCTTGGTCGAGAGGTTGGAGGCGGTATTGGAGGGGAGAAAGACGACTTCAACGTTGTTATGCACAAACCGGAGTGCCGCAGGGTGGCCAGGAGCATTGTCTACGATCAGCAACACTTTAAAGTCAAGTCCTTTCTCTTCAAGGTACTGCTTGACCTCCAGAATGAAACACTTGTGGAATAAATCCAGAAATAATGCTGCCATCACCCAAGCCTTATTTGATTGCCAGAACACAGGCAGGAGATTTTTGTTCTTGCCTTTTAGGGCACGGGGATTTGCAGCCCTGTAGAGCAAGCCCGGCTTTATTAAATGCCCAGCCGCATTTCCACAAAGCAACACAGTCACACGGTCTTTAGCTGCTTTGAAGCCAGGGGCTTGTCTTTCTGATTTCGAAATGTAAGTGCGGGTGGGCTTTTTTTTTTTTTTTCCCTCCCTTTCTCCAGAAGAGCCCAGTCTCGTCAGCATTAAAAACTTGTTCTGGAAGATAGCCCCTTTCCTCTATGATTTTCTTTAATTGTTCGGGATAGGCTTTTGCTGCCTCCACATTGGCAGATGCAGCTTCACCAGTAGTCTGCACGTTTTTGAGGTTGAAGCAGTTCCTAAAACTGTTAAGCCAATTTTGGCTGGCTTTGAATTCCTTCTTATCAGAAGGCTATCCCTCTTCGGCGGGAGGTTTGAACAGCGCATAGATGCCTTTTCTCGCAACATGTTGCCATTGATAGGCACACGTTTATGGTCCATGTCTTCCAGCCATAAGTTTAATGCCTTTTCAGTCTTCACTAAAGTCTTATCACGCACTTGGCTCATCACCGTAGCAGTTACTGGAGCACTTGATGCCACGGCTTGATGAATTTCTGTCTCTCGAATCTTGATGGCACGGATGCTAGATTCGTTGCGGCCATATTTACCCGCCACGTTGGCGATGGACATACCGTCTCTCAATAAGTCCAACACAGCTAGTTTTTCCTCCAGCATTGGAACACATTGCTGTTTCTTCAGTTGAGCACCAGATGAAGTAGGTGCCTTGCGTTTAGGGGCCATGTTATACAGTACTAAAAATACATACTGTCTCTTTAAACAGTATAGGCACAGTAGAATCTCACTCAGCATGGCGAGATGCGCACAGTGAGAGGCACGGGGGACTGAGTACTGTAGTGGGAACAGCAGATTCGCTTCTCCCATCTCACACATACTCCGGGGCAGACACACAACTTTTTTTTTTTTTTTTTGCGCCTCCAGGATTATTATAGGGGAGAACCTTATCACAGGCCTAAAGACATGCTGTTGCTGTCAAGTCCTCCCCCAGAAATATTTTAGTGGGAACAGCAGATTCGTGTCTCATGCTGGTGGAATCGCCTGCACTCCCCCCCCCCCCCGACCGTGCAAAGCTGAAATTGCACATGTTAAATGTACGTAAGATGCGACAGACCTGTATAAACCTTTCATTACTTTTTTTTTTTTTAACTGAACAGATAATATAAGATCTGGACTGAAAACCAAATGCAGTGCATCACGGAAGCTGTATTCCACAGTAGTGTATCTTAAACTTAATTGTAGCTGATTAGAAAAAAAAAAATCTACGCATTCCCAAATGTCTAAACTGTCAAGATAACCAACTCTTCACAAAATTCTCACTTCTTAAGAGAAATGGTAGTCTATTGAGAGCAGCGTATTATCCATTATTCTATATTCCAACCAGTAGCATCTGAACACAAAATAGAAGTGGTTGATTGAGGAATATAGTTCCAAAGCTGAACATTCATGGTGCACATGATCAGTTACTTGCACATATTCCTAATGGTGCTCGGTTGGGTTTAGCATATCTCATATTAAAGAATGATCCATATTTTACACACACAGCATATGTTACTTGATAGTCCAAAAAAGAAGGAGAACTGCAAAAAGGTTAAGACATTTTCATCTAAAGAAAAAAATAATTAGAAGTCTATTACTTTTTCTCCCCAACCCCCACGCAATTGAATAATCTTAACAAATCCCTGGACCAAAACAAAAACAAAAAACCTTACATACTTCGAAAAACGATAGATGTTAAAAACTTTTTTCAAAGTACAGCAGCCTTTTTTAAAAAAAAGTACTATCTATATTTTAATACGTAAAATTAAGGTGCAAGAATTTTAAACAAAAATGAACTAAAGAGCTTTATTGACATCACAGTACATTCAATAGTAATTTTAAGAACATTACAGCTGAAAGAGAATGGCATGTTTTATATTCTTATTAAGCACTACTGTTTCTGAAAAAATTGCAATACAAAGAAATCCTATTATTTAACTGAGCAGCATTTGGAAAAAAATACACCTATTTACAGTTTAAAAAAGGATTCTGGTTTCACCTACACAGCCACAATGTGCCTCTATAATGAGACAAGCCCTTAAAACTCATGGAATTTTTTAATGTCAAATCACTGGTGCCACATCGTTCCTCAGCGTTTACGACGAGGAGGGGTAGTTGACCTGAAAAATAAAGGGAAAGGGGAAAAAGTTAATGGGGAAAGACACTCCGCCCCAAAACCACACATACTTTAGGCTTAACAATTAGTAAGTTTAAAAGACTTCCCAAAATTACTTTTGCCCAAGACAACAATTATAACAAATACCGAATTTTATTTAAAAAAATACTTTTATATGTTGTACACAGGAAGACGAATAGTAAAAAAAAAAATAATCAGTCAAAATACTTAAAAAGTATACTACCTTGATCGTGACTTAGACTTGTGTTTGCGGCTTGCCTTCTTACCAGACCTTTGAGATTTCTCCATGGATCGTGACCGACTATGCTTTGATTTCTTAGCCTTCTTTTCTTTGCTGCTTCCTGGTGAATCAGAACTGCTCCTGACACTAGATTCAGAGCCTGAATGTCTTTTACTATCTTTGGCAGAACTTTTTTTGCTTTCCTGTCTAGAATCCTGTCTTAAAATTTTAGCAGACATTGAATTGCTGCGAGAGAGAGCTCTTTCACTATCTCTTTTTCTCTTTAACCTACTGTCATCATGATTGCCAGACTTACTGTCTTTTTCTTCTTTTCTTTGCTTCTCTTTTCTTTTCTCCTGGTCTCTCTCCCGTTCTCTGTTCTTTTTCCTATCTTTATCTATGCTCCTACTTCGTTCCTTTTTCCTTTCTTGATCTTTACCTTCACCCTTGTGCTTGTGCCTATTTCCACTAAGACTTCTATGCTGGTCATCACTTTTACGTCTATCTCGACTCCTGCTGCGACTAGCACGACTAGCTCGCCTATCCCTTGAGTGACTACTGCTTCTACGCTTCTCCCAACTTCTTTCCCGGGAAGGACTACGATTTTTTCGTCTCTCCCCCTTGTCCATGCTATTTCTACTAGACCGTCTCCTTTCTCTTATCTTTTCCCTACTTCTACTCCTCTCTCTCCTATTTCTATGAGAATAACTCCTACTTCTACTGCGCCTAATTTTATGTGATGGAGATCTACTGTGACTACGTCTCTTCTTCCTTTTAGGAGAGGAAGACCGTGAAGAACTGCGGCTACTACCTGAGCTTGTACTATATGATGTACTAGACACAGTACTGCTGCTACTACTGCTTCTACTGTTGCTGCTAGTGGTACCACTACTAGAACTTCTTGACCTACTCCTTCCTGTTCTCTCTTTTTCTTTAACCTCTTTTTTGGGTTCTATATCTGGTGCAGTTTCACCTGGAGATCTTTTCTTTTCATTAAACACATCATCCTCTGTTTCCTTCGCTTCCTGTGGTGCTGAATTGCTATTTTGCTCTTTATTAATGAATTCATTCATCTCTTTTGCAATTTTTTCATTTTGTAGTTTTTCTTCTGGAAAAGCACATGAAAGAAAAAAAACAGAAATAATGCCAAATAACATGGTACAGATACATGGCAAGAGAACAAATGTGCTGACTTTCTTGGCTAAGGAACAAGTTCCCAGACCACCTTAGTCATTTTTAGAAAACAATTCACTTGCCACTCCTCACTACACCACCATCTTAAAGTTCCTGGATGACTTTTGCATTTTCTTTTAAGCCCCCCATGCTTAATACTGCTTAACATACAGGATTTAATTCACAAGCCTGTAATGACAGGGAGCTGCATGGGATAAGAGTGGAATAAGAGTGTTCACACATGGAGTTAATCAGGAACAACTCCATGTATAGAATCAGAGGGGTAGCCGTGTTAGTCTGGATCTGTAAAAAGCAACAAAGAATCCTGTGGCACCTTAAAGACTAACAGATGTATTGGAGCACAAGCTTTCGTGGGTGAATGCCCACTTCATCAGATGCATGACATTCCCATGCGTCTGACGAAGTGGGCATTCACCCACGAAAGCTTATGCTCAAATACATCTGTTAGTTTTTAAGGTGCCACAGGACTCTTTGTTGCTCCATGTATAGACAAGCCTTCAGCATACCAGACTGCTGACAGATCACTACCAGTATGGACCAAAATCAAACTGGTGACATGAAAGTAAAAAAGTTATCTATCCCATTTCCAAGTTCCCCAAAACATCCAGATCTTTGATATATTTTATTTTAAAATAGCCCTTAAGCAAGAAAAATAAATACTTATGAATTTTATAAGGTTTTTCAGTGAATTACACACATTTTAAACATATTAAAGGATTAAGATACCACCATTTGAGGAATAAAAATTAATTTTAGAATACTTTTTCCCCTTAAATATAATTTTTTTTAAATAGCAGAACAAGATACCGTTACATTAAATGCATACATTGCCAAAAATCTCAGCTATCCAGAAAATCTGTAAGTGCTCACCTTTTACAATTCAATTATAATCAACTCTGATATACAGCACACACAGATATGGAGTAACGAGATATGTTTGTTTCAGCTGCATGTTGAAGAGGTTAAAGGTTGCCCCCCAAAATTCTACATAAAACTGAGTCAGCTGTACCTCACTGAACACAGATAACGATTACAGTTGTGATCCAAAAATGTACTCAACCAGGGTAAAGCACTTCTGTTGCAATAAAGCTTTTTTTGTCCATTTATGATAGGAAACATCCATCCATTTACTGCTCTATCTGGTGATAATTTAGTCTGGCTAAATAGCTATGCACAACTCCATTGTTTGCTTGCTGTGACAGTTTAAATGGCAAAGTGAATACCTCAGAAGTGAAGTGTTTTCTAGTTAATGGGCTTGGGCCCATAGCTTTAATATTGCCTTTAAGTGGGGAATAATACATGATGAGCAGAAAACTAAACAAAAATAGTATTGTTTTCATGTAAATATTCCTAATATAAATACAAATAAAAGCAGGGGAAGAGAAACTGAAAATTGAAAGAGGCAACATGGTTTCTAAACAGAAAGAGTTTAAAATCCACACAAAACTTCGTTTGAGATACCCGAACACACACTTACTTATTGCAAGAACTGCCTTATGAAGAGACCACCTTTTACAGGGGTGGGAAAAAACCCAGGAGAATGAAGTGATCGGGAAGAGTTTTTGGGTCATTTTCACTTCAAGCTTCACAAAAAAACCCACCTTCTTGAATATTCAGCAATGACAAAGGTTCTGTGTTTGCTCATGTTTAACTAGAAGTAATCGAGCAGGCCAGGAAATTAATATTATAAAGGACCACCTTGACAACAAATTTAAAATAACCTTTCAAAATTCCATAGTTTCAATATTTTTCCTCAGGGCGACCTCTTCTCCCTCATGTAACCACAATACAGAGCACTTCCACATTCCTCTTCTTTGATATATACATTTAATACACCTAAAGAGAGGAATGGAAACTAAATGTTGAGATATCACACCCCTTTATGAAGGAATGGCTGATCCAGGTCAGCTTCCAGGCCTTTAAACAAAGAGGAGAAAATGTCCAACTTCAACACAACAGGAAATAAATATGCCAGTGATACACTGTTTGAACTTTAACTGCCTTGCCCCCATCAGATCCTGACTGAAGTAATGAATTGCCAACAGCCCCTTTTTTTAAGCAAAATGATTGGTAAACATTATTCTCTGCCTACATCCAGTGGACTTACCCCACTCTGAAACTTAAGTGACCCTCTCACCCATGCATGTACCAATCACGATTGCTCTCCAGGCAGGAAACTCAGAAGTAACCCCAGCACATTTTCTTGTGCTGTAACCATCATGCATGAGGGGGGACTTAATATCCAAAGTGTTAGGAGAGGTAGGCCAGAGAGAGCTCTGATCAAGGCTATGTTCTCAGAAGCTATAGTTAGAGTGACTGAATGTGAAAACTGGAACTGACACCAAGTTATGAAGACACACATATAAACATACCTAGTTGCATAATCTGAGGTCCTGAAAGGAACATTTTACCAGAGTATCTAACCTGGAAGTGTTTCCTGGAATGGGACAAGGTACTTTTGGCTGGTTTTGAGAACCCAAAAACCCAAAGGAACTTCTTACTGTTTGAGTGAATGAGTATGTGAATGCAGGCCTCTTGCAGAATTCCTTCTATTTGACTTGCTGAATCATGAACAATTGAGTCTCCGAAATTAGATTGGCACACAGAAAACAGAGTTCACTTTCTTCACATTTAGAATAGAGTGGAACCCAATAGGTGCCTTAGGCTACAAAAAGCAGTGAATATATCTCTACATCTGCTTTAAGAAATTGCAAATCCTGGGACTTACTTTCTTCAAGGATTGAGCAGTCACAAATCACTCCAAACCAAAATTTCAGCAGTTTGAAAGAAGATAATCCCTCTGGCTGAGGACTGCTCAGCTTTCTCTTAGAGACCCAAGTTGCAGTATAATTTTCTTTGGGGGAAGAGGGGGGAAAACCCTAAGGCAAACAAGCAACATAAAAGTCTAACTATCCACAAAGAAGCACCCTATGCTAATCTAGGCCTAATGAAGTGACAAGAGAAAAATTCTAAAAAAAAAAAAAAGGGGCAGGAAAAGGGGGAAATCCCAAAAAAATCATAGCTTATCCAGCCACCAAGTTTTCACCATCTAGTGAGAGACAGAACCAGACTGCCCCTTTGAAATGGGGAGTGACATCACAAGAGTTATAATATTTTTCATGTATTTAGAATGTATACATAAAATTCATCTGCACAAACTCTTTTCTTCATCCAGTAGTAGGCTGACATATACCCACTGTGTAGCCTGACAAATAGGTTTGGAGAATGGTTCTCAACCTGAGAACACTTTGTAAATGTATACTATTTCAAAGATCCTTGTGCAATGCAGTCCTTGTAAAATTCATTCGCATGTGAAGGGACAACATAAGCCTTATGTCCCACTTTAAAGAACAGTGGAGAAAAGGCTTCACATGGTCCCTCTCCATAGGGGTGAATTTTACCCTAAATCAGGATTGATATTTTAAAGGAATTTACTTTTGAAAACTATGTGTAGAACCCTGAACATACACAAAATTTGTATCTGCATCTGATCTGCAAAAACGATTTGTGGATATTTGCGGATATAAATCAGATATCCATGGATTTGCAGGGCTCTAACTATCGGCTGTAATTTGCTCTTTTAAAACTGAGAAAGTAAATAGTCTATGAAGAACATATATAATGGATTTTACAACCAGGAAAGAAAAAAAGGGACACAAAACCAGTTTTTGGCAAAGTAACAAGCACATTTTTGAGCAAAACTTTAGAATTAAGGAACATCATTTTTATATAAGGCTCCATATGTTTTAGCCTGAAAAAATATATATATTTCCACTAAGTTGTAAAATGTATGTATGTATATGTTTTTACAGCAGGAACACATTTAAATGACTTACCTTCTAGCTGTTTTTCTAGTAATAGTTGCTGCTCTCTCTCTTTTCTCCAAAATGCTTCCTGTTTTTGCCTGATTCTGTGTCGTAGTTCCTCATCATCAGTATCAGATGATTCAGAGCCTCTGTCACTCCTCTCATCTTCACTGTCTCCTGATCCATAACCACCCAGTCCACCTGCGTGCATAAAGCCCAGTCTATCACGAGGAAAGATTAAGCCTTGTTCTTAATATTTCTGTGGGGCAAAGAGGAGAGTACATTGCCCTTCTTTCACTTTCTCTTCTCTGAAGAAGCCACTTATTCTGAGGGAAGTGCCAATGCTGGTTGACTGGAGTGTTCAAGGCCCCCATTTCTGTACTGGTGCTTATTATCTGGGTTTACTCCTTCTGGAACAGCTTGTCTATTTCTCAGCAAACAACCACTGTGATCATGGCACTTTTCTCATTGTATGGAAGGGCATGCTTCCACAGGCAAAAAAAGCTCCATATAGAGCCAGTAACAATGCCTTCCCATGTATCAGCAAGTACACAGACAAAGCAGTGAAATGCCTGGGACCCTGTCCCTGAAGACATCTCTGCAATGACTTCGGCAGCCTTCAGTTGTCCAGGGCTTAGAATTCCTGAATGCCATATCAACTTTTCTACTGTGGTTTAGAAAATACTGTACGTCAAAAGGTACAGAGATGGAATAGAAATGGACTTCCCTTGCCCCCAAAAGAAAGGTCTGAGTATATACTGGACTGATACAAAGTAACCTTAAACATCTGACACAGAGGCATTTTACTTTCTTTCCATTTGAGTTTCTCTTAATCTTTATTACAATTAGTTTAAAAACATCTGAATAATTGGGACAGAGAACATTTCACCTTATGTAAAGGAGTTCAACAAAGTTCACAATATGGTGTAATCAGCACATGATCATTGACATTTTATTGTAGCACTGCTACTAGACTATGGTAAGATGACAACATTGGGAAAGAGCTTTTCCTATTACATCTCAGAATGCAATTCTACGTTTCACATCCTGTACATCTTCAAATTGATAATCGTGGATATGGGAGCTTTAGTAGGTGTGTAGTTTTTTCAATGAAAGTATAAATTTATTCTAAACATTTGAATAGGCTTTTTTTTGCAAACCAGAGCTTTACATTTTTATCAGTTATATTGTCAACTGTTACCCACGGTTAACATAGGCTGGACCAAAACGGGAGTAATGCATAAAAATAGTCATCTTCCTTCAAAAAGATTGTAGTTTGCTCCTGGAACAATTCAAACACCATCCTATTAAAATTAGTTATCGAGTAAACTATCCAGCCAAAAAAAAGTAAGTGTACTTCTCATGTGTTTACCTAGTTTACAAACATAGGCAAGATTCTGATACTCTACTCATATGATTAGTTCCTTACTCCACAAATTATCGCTCTGAAATCTGTGGGATAACTTATAGAGTAAGGATCTACCCAACATGAGTAAAGGTAGCAGAATGACCCTTAATTATTAAGGCAATTACAACCTAGTTTCAACACACAATTTCTGGAAATGCAAGGTAAGAGTGATCTCCCCATTAAGCCCCTCTCAAAAATAAGGAACATACTTACCGAGCCCAGTGAGGGAAGCCAGTGCACTGGACTGTGCCAGCTGTTTTGCAGGAGCTTTGTATCACATCAACAACAGGAACAACATGTTAACACAAATAGCCACGATTTCATAGTCATGAGAGTCTATGGTATTGTTAAATCTACTACTATTGCTGTTTTTTGGAGGGAGAGAAGAAACATTAAAAACGTATCATCCATTTAAAACCAGTCCTAGATTTTCTCACCATGTAAAAGTTTCACATTATAAATGTGAGTTAATAGTCACTTGCAAACCACAAATCTATATTCAGAGATCCGTTTCCAAGTTACAGCATCTGCATATATATTTCAAATACCAGTATTTACATATTTAATTTTACTCATAATTGTATAGAAAAAAAAAATCACCTGCTGTTATATATAGAGTGGCCTTGTTAACAGTGAAAGAAAATGAGCTACTTGAGGATTCATATTTGTCCCTTTTCATTTCTGATCAACTAAAAGTTTGAGGTAAAATGATAGCATTAAGAAATAGATATCTACACTGCAAAAGCCATTAACACAGAGGAACCATCATAACTAAAGAAATGAATTATATGAAAGAAATGGAATAACTGAAGTAACTCACAATACACTGCACAGGACAACAGTATATGATTACTGGATTTGAGCTCTAGCAAATCAGATGCATTGTATATTGATTGCTCTTGGGAACAGTTGCTATGGAGTAAAATGTTCTAAAAACATGCAAATATAAAATATTCACTGAACAAACTAAAAAAGAAAAGCATACCTTTAGTTGCTTTACGATGTACGTCTTTGGCTACATAATAAATTTCTTCATTTGTGACATCTAAAAGAATCTCTGTCAGCAGCAGTTTTGTCAACATCATCTGAAGAAAATAATTTTAAACAACACTGGAAGCAAAGTATTTGAACCAAATTCTACACTTTGTTACACATATGCAACCCCACTGCTTTGCATGGGTGAAAAGCATAATTTGCTTCCTTTTACTTAATTATTTTTTCTATACAAAAGATCAGTTAAAATTAGGACTCTGAAGTAGTTTGGAAATCAAGTCCAATTGAAAAAATCCAAACAATCTGTACTCTCACACCGACCTATAATCATAAGCATTTCACATACAGAAGCAGGGTATGAAATCCCACTATTACAGATTGTACAATTACTTAATTTCATTAAAATAAAGTGCATGCATACGACTTCGCAGGTTTGGGGCCTTAAATACCAGGACTTCAGTTGTAGAGGGTTCAGAAAGAACCACAAAAACCTATATGAGTCACCTGAAATACCTTTTCTATACATAGGAGACAGAGACCCTCCAAAGAATACTAGGTCATAGTGGGAAACAAGCTCCCATTTCTCATCGTGCAACACCACCAAATATTGCACGTCAAATAATTATAATTCTTGGATAGAAAAGTTGCTGCTAGCCCAAGACTAAATCTTGCTATTCTTGGGCTTTAAGAAACTGTATTTTTAGCAAAAAGTAGATGATGGGGGGGGGGATGGAATGTTAGAATAAATTCCAAGGAAGAATGATAGAATTATTCGTGGACAAAGACCAGTGAGGTGGGCAAAAATGCATGATAAATAAGTATATTGTGTTTCTTTACATCTTATCAGATAGCTCTTGACTTCACATATATGGTATGGTACACACACGTATATAAGTATATTCTCCCCTATGGGGAAATACTATCCATATGTTAAACTGGAGACACATACGACTCCATATATAATCCCAGTACAGTATACAATCTATGTTATATATTTATTTAAAATGTCAGGCATAGAAAAGCACAACTACTCTTTTATGCCTAAAGCCAGAAAAATACGTATAGACGAACACCCTTTTGAGAGAACTATGTTATTTATACCATTTGATACTCCTTTTCTTCTTCTGTCATTTCTGGTTCACTTTGCTCCTCTTGAGGAGCAGGAGAGGGGCTCCTACTAACTTTTCCAACACTTGCAGCTTCTGTGTTTTCGATGTCGTCTTCTTCCTCATCACTGTCCTATAAGAAGAACATTGCATACTTTAGGACTAATTCATAATTAAAACAAGGAAGTTTCTATTTATGGTTCTCAACAAAAATTGAAATACAGCACTTCAGAATGAAGCAAAACAGCCCTCCAAACAAGTAAGTGATCCCCCTTCCCACTCTGCAAGCCCTTGGAGCCAGAAATCCAACCATAAATCACCAGCTGCAATGCAGGTTTGGTAATCCTCAGATGGACCGTCAAACCAGTATTTTCAGAGGACAAGCCATTGTGGGTCTTTTTGGTTAGGACACGCAAAGCTGTTCTTTGAGGCAGGGTGTGGAAGATATAATGTGAGGGGATCAACGTAGACACTTTTTCCCAAGTGAACGGGATTTATGCATGGATTGGAGGAATCCGACTACGGGATCCAGAGAAAGGACTCTCACCCAACAACCTAGGATATTCGTCAGGCAAGGCAGCTGCCCAAGGAGAAAAACTAACTGCTCTCGACTGCTCACCTGACCCCTCTGTGTCCAGAATGGCCACCTATGCAGTGGTCTGGTCACTGTTGGATAGGTATCCAGCACTACAAATCATTTAGGAAGAACTACCACAGACACAAGGCTACAGCATAAGACTCTCTAAATTGGTTCATTTTGGCAAGCATGGATGCACTGGTACATTTGTACTCAAACTAGTCCAAGTACAAACAATTCAATTCTTTACCATAGACATCTCCCTCCTAGTTTATGCCAATTACCAATTTATGCAAACAGAAAATAAGGCCCTATTTTATCACTGCCTCTTTGCTATTACAAACCAAGTAAAAATAAATATTCTTTAAGCTATTCTTAAATTTTTGCCCATTATCTAGCAAGAATTTACAAAGGTCAGGTAAGTGGCACTGCAGTTGACACAAACTTAATTTTTAACATGAGTAACAAATAAGTGTTGTAGATAAAGAAACTATTTTTCAGGTTAGCGAGAGAAATGTTAAGATCTTTCAGGAAAATAGATATCTAGATCAAAAGTGAATGCTTCTACTTACAAATTTACTTTTCTGAGGTAACCGTGGACCATCTCCTTCTTCAGCTTCCTCGCTTGCTTTCTTTTCTTTTTTAGACATCTGAGAACGTTGCTGTTCCATTCTCTCTTTTTCCAGCTTTTTCTGCTTTTCTCGTTCCATCTTTTCCAGACCCTCACGAATCCAAGCAGGAAGGGTTCTACGTTTCACAGCATCTGCATGTCAGAGATTTATAGTTTTGTCAGAAGGAAAATAAATAAAAAGATACATCTTTCTCACCCAATTAGAATTTTTTGTTGTTGCTATTATTAAGTTGTAATTACAGATTTCAAATATTACATTTCTTTTTACAATGAAAACCATCTCTGAAATCATGTTTTTGGGTTTTTTTCATTAAAGTGTGGTTAACATGTACCAATCTGTGGAGGCTCCTGCTTCACAGGCATCGCGATGGGTGAACGTTGACGGTCTCTGAACGAGGGCCTTTCCCTTCGGTTCTGGGGAGGCGCTGAAGGTGCTGGTGGCCCTGGTGGCCCTGGTGGTCCTGGCTGCCAGTAAGGTGGATGAAATCCACCTTGGGGTGGACCAAAAGCAGCCCCATGCTGAAAGAGTAACGCAGTTCATTTTTCTTCACATTTAATACAATGCACTCTAAACTTATTCCTTGGGCTCCACATAGCATGTGTGCACGCACATGTGTATGTAAGTGAAACAACAGAAGTCCAGGCAAATTGAAATCATGGATTTTTCTACCTAAGTATGGTCTTTCTACCTGTTTTACTGTGGTCCCCAAAATCTAAAGTGTCATTTTTATTTAAAAAGTCATTATTATTTAAGAACTTCTGGTTTTGAAAATAGTTTTTAGAATGTAAACCAATGCATAGACACCATAATGAATCTATGAATGGGCTGCAGACAACCCCTTTTCACAACCTCTCAAAACTGAAGTCTGATACCCATCTAGCTGCTGTCAATATTAACCAATTCACTACCAACTATCATTAGCATACTCAGTTAAAGCTCAGGTGCACAAAGTGCAGCCTGAGGGCCAAAGTAGCATGAAGAGTCCTGAAGTGCTGACATGCAATCACTCTCTCCCTATAATTACAACTTGAGGACAAAGGTGAAAAGCTCCAACTTTTTGTTGCTTGTTGCTGGACTTCACCTGCAATCTCCACTCATCTATTGAGGATGTTACAAATAAAAAGATATATTATGGCTGATCAAAATAATGCATATATTTATATGCAAGTTTGGTAAAGTTCTTGCATTCCTACCAAGTTGCCATGCAAGTCAGAGTTGCAAAGCTGTGGCACAGATGAGTGCATGTTACAGTTGGTTCCTAGAAATAGCCATTGAAACCATTTAAAAGGATGGCATATAGGTATAAGGCTGCAAGCATCAAATATTTTATGACAGGGTAATTTAAGTCAAAATTATTAAATTGCCAATTTTCAGTATGATTTAAACAAGCAGGACCTTGATTAAAATGGATTATTTTAATCTTGTTTTGCATTTGTACTCCTTAGTTATTTTCTTTAAAAAAAAGGTTGATTCTCATTGGTTGGTAACCATTAAAACATGCCGATTTGCAACTACATATACCCTTTACACTAAATTTGATACTACTTTTTGTTAACCAGGGGACACACTATATCTATGCACATTTAAGCAATTATATAGCTTAATTTTTTACATTTTTTATTATGTTTGAAATGGTACCTATTATATGGATGATACGTTTCTTATTTACTAGGTTCATTTTATGTGTGATTTGTGTCAAGCTCTATTTGCATGCAAACTGCAATTCAATTAAAAATGCACAAGAACAGCATTTTAATTTTTTTTATTAGTTAACTAAAACTCCCTTAAATGTGCTGGATACATAAAAACAAGTTCATCAAAACATGTTTTGCATTTAAAACTGATTATTAAGAAAAGTACTATATTCTGTCCATGACTAGTCTTACTAGGCACTACGACAATACAAATAAATAAAAATAATAAGAGTTATCTGTAGTTAATAAATTGAACTGATTGTTTCGGGTTACCATGTCCTTCAAGCTTTTAGAACTAGTAGATCTCATTCTCTCACACGGAGTTTTTATTCACAGACTGGAAGAGGAAAACAAACTTTTCTTCTTTTTCAACTCCAATCAACTTTTTAACTTTGAATGAACTAGTCACTGAACTATCTGAATAATCTGAAATAAAGAAAATAACTGCTACTACTATCAAAAGCTGGCTTAGTACTTCAACAAACTCTGGTTCCAGGTGCTTAGCCAGTGACTTCCGCCAGCTCAGTATGTGATTTTCTTTAAGATTTTGGCAGAAAACATGTTCTGTTTAATATTTATAAGCAGTTCAGGATTTAACACAGGTTGTCTTAATTTGAAATTTAATTTGAAATTGGTTTATTTTAAAAAAGAAAAATGTTTTAAATTTAAATTAAAAAATCTGATTTTTTTCCTCTCTTTTTAAATCAATGTTTTATTATATTCTTTTGGTTATTCAAATAACAGACATTTAGTATTTCCAATGTAATTTTAAAGATAGTAGCATTTACTGCATCATCTGCTACAAAGTGGACTTTCAGTACCATTTTTACAGGATTCTGAGAAGTTGTCTATAAAACTTAGTCCAGTAATAGCAGACAGAAGACTTTTATAGCCTAAAGTATTTGAAAATGGATGGCTCACCTCACATCTAACAATGATGCCAGACACTAAAATTTAAGAGTAGAGAAATTAGGATAGAAAATAGAAATAAATTCCTATACCTTTTGTCAGTCTTTCCCACAGATTTCTATTGTCTGTGAATACGAGGTAGATGTTCCAAAAGGTAATGTGTGTTTATAATTTATTGTAACAGGTTTGAGCATACAATACCATTGAAAATTCGGGGGAAAAAAATCTAGAGTAAATTCTTTGGATATAGACTTGGACAATATCCCTCACTGTAATACTTAAAAAAAAATCTATTCTTTATATACACTGCACATAACGTGTTTGCAAGAGTAAAGAAAAAAATTGGATGTGAATTTTTTTTTAAATAATTGTTTATTCATAGACTTACAGAAGATAGACATGGAAAAGATCAATTGGATCCTCCAGTCTATCTCCCTGCAAATGCAGGGCTATTCCCTATAGCAGGGGTTCTCAAACTTTTTCTTGCTGAGGCCCCCCTCAACATGCTATAAACACACCAGGGCCCAGCGGGGGCTGAGGGGAACTTGGGGCTCTGGACCGGGGGGACCCTTAGGCATAGGCATAGTTTTACTTCTACTGGGGGGTGGGGGAGTGGAGGGCAAGAGCTGGCGGGGCTTGAACCAGCTCCATACATCGGGGTCCAGGAAGGGAGTGCCACCTCCACCCTCTGACTCACTCAGGAGGCCACCCAGCCTGCCTGGGCTGTGTGGGGATGCAACCAAAATATATAACTCAAAGGGGGAGGGGACTCAGTTCAAAAAGGTTGAAAACCGCTCAGGGTGCAGGGAGGGGATAGCTAAGGGATGTGTGCAGGCAGGGGAGTAGCTTAGGGTGCAGGCAGGAGGTAGCTAGGGGCTATGTACAGGCAGGTGGGCGATTCCCAGTGCAGCTCCCAGCTTCGGGGGTGAGGGGAGCGGGGGGGAGGGAGGAGGTTTGCCGGCTTCAGCCCCACACCACTTCTGGCTTCAGGAGCTTGAGGGGGCGGGAGAGAGAGTGCGCTAGCTTCAGCCCCGCGTTACTCCACCCTGGGGCGGGGTGGCCGCCAACTTCAGCCCTGTGCTGCTCCCAGCTTCAGCGCTGGGCTCGGGGCACTAGGTTTCAGCCATGGGGCTCCGCGGATCCCCTGAAAGGGCTCATGGATCCCCAGTTGAGAAACGCTACCCTATAATACATTCTCTAGTATATTTAGATATATTATTTTCTTAACTTTATTTAATGCTCCTTTCTTTTACACAACTTTGTCATGTTAATTATATACTGAAAAACACTGAGTCATTTTAATCTTGCACATAACCACTTCTCATTATTTGTACGGAAAAAATCTTGTTTGGCCTCAGAACTGAAAACTCTAAAGTCTTCTTCTGTATGCATAAGGTATTCTGCATTGTGTTAAAATGTATCTTAGCTGCTAAGATTTAGCAGCTAACAGACTTCTTGTTTGTAGAACTGAAGCGTGAGAGTCGCCGCTAGATATTCTTAGAGGAACACTTCCACAGAAGGGACTCTGTACGTCTACAATATTAAAGCAACAAATATGTTTCACCTGATAGTCAAACTGGTTCACTGGCCCCATTGCAAAGTTATCGGGTGGTCCCCCAAAGTTGTGATTGTTCTGGTTAAATATATGCCTGTTGTCAGGGGCAAATTCCCCACTATCCTGACTGTTGCTGTCTTCAGATGGAGGAACAATTTCCATTGGACCAGGGGCTGGAGGCATCCACTGTTGATCTGGAGGTGGATGTGGAGGTTGGTGAGGCATTCCCCATTCTGTTCAGGATTTAGAAGAAATTCAGTATGAAGTTAACAATGAGACTTAGACAAATAATAAATGTTCGTAAGCTATCAATCTCATGAAGTGCCAAAAAACAAGACTTTCAGCTTTTGTCTGATAAGGAGTCAGGTAGGTATAAACTGATATATAGTCATAGATTAGGGTTAGAAGGAGCCATTATAACCACCTAGTCTGATGAAGCAGGAATTAATTCCTGCTTCAAATCCAAAAAACGTGGTTGAATTATAGCATATATCTTTTAGAAAGATATCCAATCTCTATTTAAAAATCTCCAGCAATAGAGAATCCACCACAATCTTGGGTAAATTATTCCTAGTCTGAATTTGTCTAGTTTCAACTTCTAGCCATAGGATCAAGTTATGCCTTTGTCTGCTAAACTAAAGAGCCCTCTAATATCAAATTTCTGTTCCCCATGTAGATACTTATAGATGGTGATCAAGTCACCCCCTCCACCTACTCTTTGATAAGTTAAACAGATGGAGCTCCTTGAGTCTATCGCTCTATGGCAGGGCTTTCAAATCCTTTAATCATTCTCATGGCTCTTCTCTGAACCTTCACCAATTTTGAAACATCCTTCTTGAAGTATGAACGCCAGAACTGGACATAGTATATCAATCGTTGTTAGAACAATACCAAATACAGAAGTAAGGCCAGTACCAAATACAGAAGTCCCTCATCCTGTCACTATGGCCTATATTCTTTGTTCCTAGAAGCATGACTTTACATTTGGCTGTAGTGAAATGCATATTGCTTGCTTGCATCCATCTTACTCACTGAGTCAGATTAAGAGGACAAGGCACTAACAGAACCATTATTTACCATTCCTCCAATCTTTGTATATTCTGCAAACCTGATTAATAATGATTTTGTTTTTTCCAGGTCACTGATAAAAATATTAAATGGCATAAAATCACCCAGGACCCCCCTAGAAACATAGCCACTCAATAATGATTCAACATTTCTATGTCAAGTTCTCTATGTTTACATTACAATGCAGAAAGTTAGTCAGAACAAAACTACCAAAAAAAAAAAACAACCCTTAAACCTTGCAAACATTAAAGGCAATATTCAGTACTGCATATCTTAGAGGTGGCAGCACAGAACTTGAAGACCAGGAGTGGGAGGACTAAGGTGCCCTTAAGACACCTTTGAACTTGGGGGCTACTCAGGGGATAATTTAGACAGCCCTGATGGCTGCCCTACTTATTGCAGCTTCCCTGTGGAAAGCAGCACTGCTCAGATTCTCTGCAGAGTTGCATACTGGAGCCATGACTGCCCTGGATCTTTAGTGAAAGAGGAAGAAGAATGTGGTTAAGTCACTGAATTGGGACACTATACACCACATAACTTCTGCCTTTCAAACCTGACATTCTACTCCACTTTGTTAAACATGTATATGTACCACAAGTGATTGTCTGAGATAGTCTAAATGAAAATTTCCATTCAATTCACATAGGCACATTTGCCAAAGTGCCAACAGAACTTTGTTTGAACGTTTTAAACATAATTCAGTGCACATGTGCAGATTTTGGGTTTTATACCCTCCCTTGTAGCTATAAAATCAAATGCAATTTTCACTGGACCAATAAAAAAACATCTACAGACTTAGAAACTGCATTCCTGCCAAATTTCAAATGGCCATTACATTCTGCAGATGTGCTAGATCTGTTTTTTTTTTTAAATTGCAAAAGAAAATGTTTGCAAAATAATTCTTGGAAGTAAAACTGCAATTCTTCTACTCCTTCTGTTCTTGAAATCAGCTCTATTTTTTTTTTTAAATGAAACTTTCAGGACAAACATTTTCCTTGATAGGAAAAGAAATATATGTTTCAGCCAAAAACTAAATTTTTGAGAAAGTTGTAATTTACTGAAAGTGACCCATTTTATTGTAAATGTTCAGTTAATCTTAACTATAGGCATCCCATGTGCGGGGCATATAATGGGTAGGGCAAGACCTGGGGAGAGCAGATAACCTCAAAAAGGAAGACACATACAATAAAAGTGTATTTCACAAGCAGACCTCTGCCCTTTCTGATCTCCAAGCTGTTGTGCCTTGAAAGAACACCATAGCAAGCATCCCACCAGCTAAGTGCTGGACAGAACTCATTCCATAACCTGTCAAAAACATTGCCCAAAACAGCTAAAAGGGTTGCAACAGAGTGACAATAGATGCTCTCTTCCTCAAGAGCACATTGTGCCCTTCAATACTCCAGCTCCTACCAACCTGGGAATAAGAAGTGAAACAAGTAACTGAATCCCACGGGGGGAAAACCAAACACAGATGTTCACCTTCTATATTAAAATTCAAAGACAAAACCCAAAGACTATTATATATATATATATATATATATATATATATATATATATATA